GCAGTTTCTCCCCAGTTTTGGGGGGTCTGGACCCCTCTAATAAACGCTTTCTCATTTACTATATATTACTCCTCAAAAGGCCCTGGGATTGAGGTTGCATGATCTATATCATTCTAAACGTAATTTTGAGAACCATTACTTTGTGATCCTGTAGCTGAATGACAAGACGGAGGAGTTCAGTCGCTGTAGAGTTCAGTTGGAGGAAAGTCGTTCTGAATGTTTGAAATATCAAACTCAACTTCGTGAAATGGAGGAACGGTTCTTTCAATCGGATGTCAAGACCAAGGAAGAAGTGGGCAGAGAATTGAGGGTATGGCCGTATGGAGAATTGTTTGGAAAATGTCTAAAGTCCCGGTCAAACGAGAACAAGAGTTCGAGAGTTCCTTAGCTAGGTAACATTATTTCTCTTCAATAATATTTAGGAGGAAATACGGCAACTTCGTTTGGAGGCCAGACAGAAGGAAATAAACTCTCAACAAGACAGAACTCTCCGTACCAAGGTAAGTGCCCGGGGTATCATCCTTACTTGCAGCTGACAGCTAAACAGAATTGCGAAGCACACAGCTCAACCTGATCGAGTTGAAAGCTTTCAAAGGATGCCTCTGGCAGCCTTGATGACTGATCAAGGAGCACAGCTATGGTGGAAGGGTCAGTTAGGGGGATAATCCCAACCCACCCTGTCAACATTCCCTATGGGAGAAAACGGGAGGACCCGGAGAAAACCCACGAGTTTCAGCAGAGCGTTGACTGACTCTACTCACGTAATGGTGTCATGATTCCGTAGCGAGAGTCGAACCCAGGATCTCAGAGGTGAAAGGCGCTTTCTCTGATGACTGAGCCACCGAAGTCCCTACAAAGAAAGCTGGATGTATAGATATTGATTAATGAATGAAGACAAACTTTTCTCAAACTTAGATTCAAGAAGACTGTACGTCGTTGATCAAAGAGAATGCCGCCTTGGCTGCCCAAGTCGTAGAACTACGCAAACAGATCGATGCTGTAAGTTATAACAATCACTGCTTGATTTTGTTTTTTTGAGTGTCTCACTCATTGGTGAGCAGATTTCCCAACAGGCTATTGCACAATTGATAGGAGATCCGAGGTACCTACGATTGTAACGTCCTTATCCGAGAATACGCCGATGTTAATGTAGCTCCTCCTCTTCAATTATTTTAAGATCTTGAGTGTAGAGGTCCGACCAAGGATTGAACCCGGCTCTCCCAGTTTGGAAGGCAAGCGTGGTGACCACGACATCACAAGTGGTGGTGTATATATATATTACCAACATAGAGCGACCAAAAGGTCATAAGAGGATGAGAGTTCATAAGAGTTGAGAAAACTCTCATGCAAACTCTCGCTTCTCAACTCTCATGCAACTCTTGTTCTCGTTTGACCGGGGTATGAGAGTTGAGAAAATTGACACGCGAACTCTCGCTTCTCAACTCTCAATTTACTGATGTCAATGTAAACATAGCTCTTTCTCCTCAATTATTTTAAGACCCTAAGTAGAGGTCCGACCAAGGATTGAACGTGGGTCTCCCAGTTTGAAAGGCAAGCGTGCTGATCACGACAGCACAAGAGCTGGTTGATTTGGGCAGTGCATCCCACAGGGTTCGTAGTCTCCAAGACCAAAAATATTCAAAGACTTTCAAAGATTTTTTCTGCCTATTTTCAAAGACTATTCAAAGACCTTTGAGAGCAATCAGCTGACGAAAAATTGCGAGTGTAAGCACCATTTTTACCCAGTAATTAGTCCCGTCACATCACATCTAAAAATGTTCCTTTTCGTCGATATTTGCGAAAACCTTGCTTGCTCTTCAATCAAACAATTTTATTAGCTAGGAAATTGTATAATCAAATACTCACTAAAGAATTCATTTTAAAGACTTTCTTCGCTTTTTCACACGATTCAAAGTCTTTTCAAAGACCTTAAACTCCTGCATTCAAATTTAAAGACTTTCAAAGATTTCAAAGACCGCTACGAACCCTGTCCCAGGTGACAGAGGTGAATGAACAACAACCATGATTGTATTTTCTTTCTCTTCAAGGATCGAGCCCATCAAGACGAAAAGGTCGTCAGACGTCAAGCAAACATCCAGGAATTGGTGGCAACAAAGGACAGCGAGAGAAGGCTGCAACATGAGTTACAAGTCACCAAGGAACAACTTCGAAGTGAACAGATGAAGTATAGAGAAGCCACACAAAAGGTAGAATGAGTAGAAAATCTTAACGACAACCTTCGGTCACTGGTGTTTGCCTCAGCATCTGCCCTTTATTTCTATCTTATTGTTGTTTACCTTTCCATTACAGCTCACTCGAGAGGAGCAAAATGCAATTCATGGTATGTGAAAAAGTCATTGAAATTGGCGAGCAGAGCGGGCAAAAGGGGCTAGTCAATGTCCCATTGTCAATACTTTACCTCTTTACCCAGTTTTTACCCAATTTGTTTTCAGTGAGGCTGAGCAAGACGAAGTTAAAAAGCAACGTAGAAGAATTACAGAGTTTAAACACGATTCAAAATGATGAAAATATCACCTTGCAACGAGATAAGTTGCTGCTCACTGATGAAATTTGTGATCTACAGTCCAAGGTAACGAAACATTGTTTTCGCAGAAAGAAGTCTCACTGAATTTCTTGCGCAGGCTTTAATACAAGTATTTTAGTCCACTACCGTTTTATGTAAGATTTAGTTTCAGAAGAAAAACACCACACCACTTCCACCAAATCCTCCCCCTCCCCGTAAAATTCTTGATTTTGTCTCTATGAAATAACATTTCCCGCATCGAGACGGCACTTTTGAGCAAAAATATAACGGTTTTAAAACAGGTTTTTAACGGCGTGTTGAAGAATATACAACGATCAAATACTTTCTTCCTTTTACAGTTAATTATTCACATTTGCCACTATTTCTTTAAAGCATATTGTGAAAAATATAAATAACAGACCTTACCGATAATTCTCTTTTACCCAATGGCCTCGTTTCCATGTTAACTTATTTTAGCATGTCAGGGGCAGATAAAGATTATATTCCCATGTTTTCCTGCTGTCCTTAGGCTTCAATAACAAAGTAATTTTCAGCCGTACTAAACACAAAACACGAGTATTTGACATGAAAACGAAGCCATTGGGTAAAAGAGAATAATCGGTAAGAACCATTACGGAAAAGATTGAGTTTTAAACCTCAATAATTGCAGATTGAGATTTTCTACCATACACCGGTAGTAGAAAAGTACTTGTATATAAATCCGTGTTGCGGGAGCATTAACTAGTTCAAATTCCATACCTTATTAATTCCTTTGCATCTAGCTGGATGACAAGAACGAGGAATTGATCGACCTAAAAACTCGTCTCCACGATGCAGAGAGCAGATGCTCACAGCTGGAATCTAAAGTGAAAATGCAGAAAAATTTGGAAAGTATAAAATGGGAAGAATTTCACAAGATGGCCAACACTATGAGTCAGTTCTCCAGAAGCATGAGCCCCAGGAAAGAAAGAGAGGTCGACTACGATGACTAGAATATGTACTGGTTGGTTTCAGTAAGCGATGCAAGACAGCAGATAAAATTCATAGTGCTGTTCAATCAGAGACAATATATGGTGGTCAACTTGTCGAAATGCCGATACTTTTGGAACAAGAAAATTAAACTACATCTTTCAATTTATATTTATTTGCCTCCAAATACAAGACTACTACATTTAATGAAAAGAATGAACATTATTATCTCACTCTGATAACTGCAGGTTTGACCAACATCTGCTGTACGATACTGCTTAGTGAAAACAAGCTATTTAGACAAAAATATTTTTAATTTTTATAGACTATATAATAATAGGTATTATAAACATCAATTGATCGTAACAGCAACGAAGGTGTAACTAATCTTACAGTAAGAGTAGTGGCTAAACATGTCTGTTTAGTTTACAGATTAACACAATGTCAATAGCAAGTCAATTGTTAGTATCATTGAGACAATAGATTATTGAGAACACTTTCACTTACCATAATGCATGAAATCCATAATGTTTTCTTTGGAGTGCATAGTTGAAGCTGTAAGATGTAAACATTGATGGTACATTCTGATATATTAAAGAAAATTATAAATTTTATAGAAACAAATCAGAGTTGTGTAAATCTTACTTTGCCAAAAACTTGCTTCCTTGGACTTCAGCCTCGTAAACAAAAGTTGTGAATCCTAGACATTTCTTGAGGCACGTGCTCCAGGACGTCACTGGCTACCAAGTGCAACCGAGTCAGTTTCACCGAGTCAGTTTCCTCAAACATTTCTAACAAATCTTCAAAACTTACCGATGCAAAATTCCTACTGTGATCACAGAAACTTTGATAGTGTAAACCAGGCATTATACCCAGAGAAAAAACCCTCAGAGCACAGGAGAACCATCTACAACTCTATACTTAATAGTACATGCAGTAACTTACCGAGTTATTAAATACATCAAATCAGAGAACTACTGTAAACTGGCTTTAACATCTTTACCTTAATCCAGTATTATTGTGAGGCCAGTATTGAAGCAACATTTTAGTATCTACATCGTAGACGTTTGTTGTTTCTTTAAAATACATCAGCTTACGTTAATAAAATATTGGTTTAAATTTCATAAATTCTATCAGATAACTCTGTCAGTGTAGCAGAGCTTGCCTTGTTTTCCTGAGATGAGATTACAGTTAGTGACTATTGCTCTGCACTTGTTTTTAACAGTCAGTCTCTGCCATATAAAATACGTGTAGAGTCAATGGTTCACTGCTCTGTCCTACAACAGTAGTGTAGCAGGTTTTTCAAGATATGACTTGAAATGTTGCAACCACTGAGCTCCAACAGCTCCATCAACCACACGATGATCACAGCTTAGTGTTACACTTAACATCATGGCTTGACTGAAACTAAAACACAGGCAACTTTATCAAACTTGTACTGGATAACTCTGCCAGTTCTAAACTGTTCTCTCTGGAAGTCCAGCAAGGGTCATCTCTTATTGATCCAGTGTTACTACAGGAGGAAACGTAAACTAAACTAACTTTATTTATACTGGATAGCTCTGTCAGTTCTAAACTGTTCTTCCTAGAGGTCCAGTAAGGGTCATCTCTTATTGATCCAGTGTTACTACAGGAGGAAACTTAAACTAAACTAACTTTATTTATACTGGATAGCTCTATCAGTTCTAAACTGTTCTCCCTAGAGGTTCAGCGCAAGGATCATCAGATTCTCTTATTGATCCAGTGTTACTACAGGAGGAAACCTAAACTAAACTTTATTTATAATGGATAACTCTATCAGTTCTCTAAACTCCAATCTTTCTTACCCTTGTTCAGTGTTGTCATCAGGAATTATTCTCTTCTCTGTTTGACCAACAGCTAGGATACACGACTGTAAAAGATAAAGTACAGCACATAAGTCTTATTTTTACTAAAACAAGAACGTTCGTAGCGTGTGAAGGTAAAGAGTCTTGCTTGCGAGGTTGCCAATTGCGCCAATACGCCAATTGCGTATTTCAGGAACCAATCCCCGGCGAGAAAAACAACTGTTTAAGCAAATTTTTCAAATTAATTCAGTGTCATGTATTGGAGCTTAAGATATTGTGTATTTTATTACCTGAGGCGGATTAATAACGGCAGCAAAGTTTTTTATTCCGTACATCCCAAGATTGGACACCGTAAATGTTCCACCCTAAATATTTCAAAAAACTTTTCTTTAGCTTTGGTGCAAAAAGAGGAAATCATACAGTATAACTGAGATGATTACGAAAATTACATTATTACGTCCTACCTGGAACTCATGAGGTTTAAGTTTATTGTCTCTCGCTCGCTCGGCTAGTGATGCTATATCTGAATTTATGTTTTTCAATCCCTGCAAAATTAAGATATGTATAGTACGAAATATCAATGTACAATTCTCATGGAGAGTTGATGGTTAGCATTTAGGAAACTGTTAAGAGAACGAAACATTCTTGATATATGTAAACCTACCTTTTTATCAGCACTAAATACGATGGGTGTGATTAAACCAGAATCTGTACTCACAGCTACACTTATATCAACATTATGATTTCTGAAAAGAAGAGTCTCTATCACTCACTGTGTCTACTTACTCACTTACTTACTTTACATTTCCCAAAGAAAACTCTCTGTTCAAACACTTACTGTCTAATAAATTCATTCATCCAATACGAGTTAGCTTCAGGGATCTGTTTACAGGACAAGGCTGAAGCCTTGATGATAAAATCGTTCACTGACAACTTATATTCAGCTTTTCCTAGCTCGTTTAATTCTTTACGAAGCCTGCAAGAAATGGAATTGAAATCTGCTTTGTATATATACGAGAGCAGACTGACTGAGTAATTCAAATACGTGTATGTTATGCATAAATAAAAATCACATATTGCAGAAAGAAAAGATAGTAGGAATTTTTATCATTCTCCTTACTCAAGAATATCATCCATTTGAATATCAACAGATAGATAGTAATGTGGTATGGTTTGTTTTGATTCTAACAATCTCTTGGCAATCACCTAAATTAAGTTAAAAAAACTCATTAATAAAGAGAAAGGAAATCACTACCATGTCGCCATGTCGGTGGTTTTATATCTGATAAAAATCATGTGAACTTTAGTTTTGATTTTCTCGACTTAGACAACGTTTATTTCTAAAATTACTTCCTCAATAAACTCACAAGATGGGTCCTTTTTTAAGCCATTTAAAACACTTGCAGTCGATGCTTTACCAGAAATAAAACTCTCGGCTGTTGCGTCAAGTTTTATATCTGATAGAGCAATCCTGCTCGTGTTTTAATAATTACAAATGTGAAGTTGACTGGATCAGATCCAGAGACGAATCATTTGCACACATAAATTTACACTGGGCCACTTGCATTTTTTGGGTAGTTGAATACCTCTCAATCTGCAGTTTTTAACTAGACAATATTGCTTACCTTTCTGACATTTGATAGAGGAATATCTGTAAATTCTCCTTCTAGAGAATGCAAGCAGAACGGTCAGATATACTGTAGTGTACATGTGCAGATAACCAGACAACGTTACTCTTACCTGGAGTAACTTGTGGAGCTACAGGTCGTTCTGGTGTCACTGGAGCACCTGTTTGGACATCACTGGCAATAATTCTCCCTTCAGGACCTGAACCTGACAAAGACTAGAAAAATTTTAGTTTTTATTAGTTCATTACTGCAAGAGGAAACCTAAACTAGACTAACTTTATTTATACTGGATAGCTCTATCAGTTCTAAACTGTTCTCCCTAGAGGTCCAGTAATGATTATCTCTTATTGATCCAGTGTTACTACAGGAAGAAACCTAAACTAGACTAACTTTTTTTATACTGGATGGCTCTATCAGTTCTAAACTGTTCTTCCTAGAGGTCCAGTAAGAATCATCTCTTATTGATCCAGTGTTACTACAGGAGGAAACCTAAACTAAACTAACTTTTCTCACATGTGACTGAGGTGAAATTATAATCAAACAATTGCGTATTTCAGGAACCAATCCCCAGTCACAAAGATGAAAGACAGATGCACTAACCACTGACACACTACATTGATCTCTGAGGGCAAAAATAAAGAGACTGAAGTTTCATACCGGTAGATTAATGCCTTTTTCTCTGGCAAGTTTCCGAGCCAAAGGACTTGCAAACACTCTTCCACTGGGTGAAGGAGGCATTGCTGGTGGGGGAGCCTGGGGCATAGCACCCTGGGGAGGGGTTGTAGGAGGAGGAGTTGTGGGGGGAGCAGCTGCAACAGGTGGTGCAGGTGGGGGGTCAGAGACGGCTTCTGCTGGCTGTTGAAATAGAATGAAAAGAAAGTTATTTGAAATGAACTGAACAGGGAAGCTATAGACTCAATTACATCTACATACAGAAGTAGATGCCTATACCTGGGTTGCAGGTGCTGAACTCTCGTCATCTTTGAAATCTTTAAATGCGGCCACATCCTCCTCGTTTTCAACAATTATACACACAAGCTGTCAAGAAAATAATTGTAAACTAAAGTTTGCACATCATCTGGAAGAGATTTGGAATTTTCAATATTCAAGCAAAAAAAGGTGTGAAAATTGCACATTGTTATTTCAACCCTGTGTTTGACAAATGTAGTTGGAGATTGCAAAGAGGGATTTTCCTTTCACCAAAACCTTAGATTCCCTACGACTGAGCATCAAATCATACCTTGCCGACAGGGACATCTTTAGAGCCAGCAGGAGCGACAATCTTAGCAAGATATCCTTCGTCAGGCGTTTCAAATTCCATCGTTGCTTTATCCGTCTCAATCTGTGCCAGGACGTCGCCTTCCTCTAGTTTCTCTCCCTCCTCTTTCAACCAACTGGCAACCGTACCTGCTTCCATCGTCGGCGACAATGCCGGGAGAGGGACACGGATATGAGATGGAAGAGCTGTGAAAGTAATCGAGAGGTTTAAGCTCACAAACGTTTATCAACACAGGTGATACATGTATAAAATTGAGCCGTTACACACGACAACCATTTTTGCTTGCAAATCACAAACATTAGCACTTCAAGTGGCAATGTGCCCTGATGCACCCAGTACTTTTTTTTTGTCTTTTGCCTGAGATGATTTTACTTGTTAAGGTTAAGGGGAAAGTACTGCCACTCAAAGGGTTAATCAGACTATATCTGCCCATGTATCTGTTAACCTTGCATATATTTGTGCCCTACTTTAGTATTTTACTCTGTCTAATGCCAGACAATTTTACTTGTCAGGGGGAGAGTGCTGCCACTTAATGACTTAAACTGCATTGATTGCCATTCCTGATTTCTAGCAAGATTCCTGCAAAATTTCTCATCAAGGCAAAGTCATTTACACTCATGAAATGACTCATGCAAACAAAATCAAGTCTGTCATGTTTTCTCTTTAATGTCAACCTTAATCTCAAACTGCTATGCTCTTGACTGGAAAGATTACATATTGCACCCAAGATTTTGAAAATTGAATAGTAAATATATAGAACACCTGGATTATTACACGGCAAAAAACGCCGAGCCCGCTGCTCAACAGGATTGAACAATGTTTTGCTGCCCACGTTGTTCACACTTGTCAACAATATTGAACAATATTGTTGAGCCTGAATCCGGGTGTAACAATATTGTTCAATATTGTTGACAACTGTGAACAATGTGGGCAGCAAAACATTGTTCAATCCTGTTTTCATCAGTATTGCATCAACCTGAGCGTTTTTACGCGTGTAGAAATTCCTCATGGTTCATACATACAGTACATATATACCATGCACAAATACATACCATCATTGCTAAAATATCGCGATTGTTTTTGAACCCTTGATGTATAACATAACTTGGAAGAACTTCTAAACAGCAAAGAAACAAGACAATCAAGCTAAATACCACAAGACTATCAACAGAAACAGCAGCTGACACTACCAACTCGAACTCACCTTGGTAAAATATTTTGCACTGTTCTCGCAGCCTGAGCGGTCGTTCGCACGGAAATTCGTCCAAAGGCTCTCCTAGTTTGCAGCACGCGAACTCGTTTTACAAAAACAGGAATAAAACGCCTAGAATTTAGCATTTTTGGCGAAAATAAAACAAAACTAAACTTCAAAAATTTATAATTTTGTATTTTGCAATACTCGCCCCAGACCTTCGTCTCACAAAACAAGCGCGGCCACGTAAATCGATCGTTTCTCGAAAATGAACGCCATCTTGGCATTGGAGAGCATTGTGGTATATATCCCAGACAACTGAACTAAGTATATAAACTGAACGGTTCCAGTAAGCTCGCGCGCAAATTAAACATTACGTGACGTCGAAAAAAGAATTAAGAATGTTTTTCCTAATATCTCGCCATTCTGAAAAAATCCACTTACGTTAACGATAATTTGAGAAAGAGCGCAATCTCAATCACTCGAGAAAATTGCCGAGTTATTTTAGTTAGGTTAGCGGTTTCTTTATAATACTAGGTAAGTACCAGGTTATGTCGCAACGCATACAGAACACTGTGGGGTTACGTGTTTTTTACTGGGGTTCAATTCCTGTAATATGCTGTTGTCTTTTACTTGTAGTTTGACTCGACCAACATTGTTTATTTTCTCTGTAGCATTTCAAAATGGAGGAGATGGAATATTGTGAAGAAAGTTCTCCTGCGCAAGAGATGAGTGAGCGAGGCGTGAAAAGATCATGGCTCGAGATCAGTCAGGAAGACGAAGTCAGGAAAGAAAGGTTTATGAAACAGAAAACATCCATGCTATAAAAACAAATAAATATCTGCGGGATTCTGAAGTTCACACGTCACACATAGTTCACTAAGTTCAGTTGTATAATCCTGAATGTTAGTATAGGTAGTGCCAATCATAACGAAAGCTTCGGACTCACGGACTGATAGGGCTACAACTATACCTTGTTTTTTTTCAGGTCTAGCATCGCTAACAATCCCAAGCTTTCCTACAGTATCATCAGTTGCCCAACCGAAGTACATTGTTTGAGCCGGCTTACGTGCTTGTATTAGGTTTGGCACATGTAAAATTCGACGTTTGAGCTACACTTAGTTACAAGCTTTTCACAACTAATTATTCATAACAAAATGCGTGATGCCTCTTACTAATGTGTTTATAAGCATGGGAAGTTGTTTATCGCTCACGTACAGAACGAGTTTCAAACAGGTTTTATTTCTTGTGTAGATTAACGAGGAGTACAGGAAGTCACAAACTCACTATCCACTGCATACGAGCAGATACTTACGGTAAGTACTCATCATAATTACGATTATCTTGGGACAGTACATACCAATGCAGTCAAATGTCGTGCTCACAATAGGCTTGAGCCCAAGTGACGTATAACGCCCCAAACCGTTACTGTTCGCGAGTGTGTGTCCTAGTAGCAACTATTAGGAAGTTACTCCAGAGGTGTACCCGCGTTGCTGGTGGTTATGAACCAACGTTGAAGGGAGATTGCCAGTTAATAACTTAATATAGCCCATTTCCGTACTACAGCCTATAACATTTTAATTCATTTCTTTCAGCATATTCCGTTCTGAAAAACGACAGTCCTAGTATAGCGCAAGTTGTTGCCAAACGACGTCGCCTCACAAACGAAGGAGCCGAGAGAGTTATACAAACTTTCACATTTTAACTTTCCAAAACTCGAAGTAGATTTAATTCAATTTTGCAACAAGGAATGTTAACTGGTTAACCCCATATATCTTGCTTCCTAGCAAATCATCTCTTATTGTTAACCATCATTGTTGAATTAAATTTGGTAAACGGTTCTTGGTTTAGTGTCACTTTAGATTTGTGGTTGGGAGAGCCGGGTTCAATCCTTGCTCGAACCTCTACCCGAGGTGTGAAAATAATTGAGGAAAAAGAGCTACCTTTACATTGACATCAGTAAATGGTTAGCATTTCGCGTCCTCTCGGATAAGGACGTTCAAAATCGTAGGTACCTCCGACCCCTATCAATTGGGCAATTCCGCTGACCAGTGAGTAAGAAACGCGATAAATAAGTAAAATTACATTAAACAGTAATCTCAGATATATAGTGTTTTGCCTTTATAAATTAATATTATTATTTATTATAATTGATTACTCTATAGACTATAATAATTCTGATAATTTAAATTTACTTAATCCATTTGGCAGCAATTTCGGCCATTTCATGATGGGACTCCAGTACAAATGCATGTCTCATATTCTGTTCAGAAAGATATATTTGTGCCATAGGAAACCTACTGACCATCTCATTGTAATATGATCTTGGAGTCCATGGATCAGATGCACCATAATAGAAGATTAATTTATCTACATGATCGGATATGAGCTGAAATAATATAAAACCTTCGATTAACAAACACAGCTTTCAAACACTGCAGGTTTTACCCAGATACTTCAGTTTCCTCTTCGAGTAACAATGGGTTACTAAGAGACGATCCTTACTGGACCTCTTAAGGAAGAACAGTTTAGAACTATCCAGTATAGATAGAGCTATCCAGTATAAATAAAGTTAGTTCAGTTTGGGTTTCCTCCTATAGTATAACACTAGATCAATAAGAGATGATCGTTATTGGACCTCTAGAGAGAACAGTTTAGAACTGATAGAGCTATCCAGTATAAATAAAGTTAGTTTAGTTTAAGTTTCTTCCTATAGTAACACTGGATCAATAAAGGATGATGCTTACTGGATCTCTAGGAAGAATAGCTAATGTGAGATAGTTTGGTTGATTTAACCCATTAATGTGCAAGACTTTCCCCCTTAGACAGAGTATAATAATAAAGTGAGGTGCATTCAGAGCAGTTTTATAATGGATTAAAAACCCACACAAACCTCAATAGGAGTTTTATCAACCTTCTCCATCTCTTCAGCAGCCATAAACAACATATTCCTTATCGTGTCTGCATTAATCAGTTGCACAATGGCGTCCTTACAACCTTCGTGGACATTTCTTCGAATGAACCAAATATTTATCAACCATTTCTTTAAGCTCAATGGTAACCATGACAACGACCATGCAGCTGCTACAAGTGGCCATGAAAAATAGTTTGATACAGGTGTAGCTAACCTGCCACTCGGCGAGATTGCCATCCGTTCGATCGTCGGAAACAGCAAAAGACCTTGGGTGATACGTTTTTGATCTTTGCCAAAGTATTCGAGCAGTTTCAGGATCATGTAGGCGCCAATTGAATGACCAATAAGTACAAACGTACAAGATGGAGGGAAGTAGTTCTCAAGGAAGGCAATTTTGTGGTTAATTTGGTCTGTGAGAGTAAATGGAGAGTTGTGAATGGTGACATTTTCCAATGGACCATGACCTATGTGGCAAATATTGAAGTAACCATTAGCATTGGTTTCAGAAAACACCACAGAACAACATATGGTGCCATGGTGGTCAACATCAGAAATGTTCTGGGACTTTTTATTTCTGCCCAAATACAAGACTACTACATATAATATTAATAAAAAGAAACTATTAAAAATTACAGTCCAAACCTGCATTTTGAATGCCAAACATTGGAAATTTCCCCTTACATTCACTAAACAAACTTTCCAGAAATGAGTCATAGAAACGAATTATGCCTGGATTTCCGGGAATTAGTATCACAGCTTTCCTACATTTCGATATTTCAAAATTCTCTGCATGGATTTTTGAAATAAGCGAAGCAATGCCGTTTATACTTTTCACTTCTTTAACAACACGAGCAGCCATCTTGGTTTAAAGTCCATCAACATCTTCGGATTTTTAATCGGACTTGTTCGGAAATATTCGGCGAACGGCTAATATGCTAATCAGTGCTAAAGTTAGCCCAATATTTTCTAGTGGTATTTAACGAGTAAAATTGTCTGGCTTTAGACCGAATAAAATAGTTTATTTGATTTCTCACTTATTGGTGAGCGGGTTTGTAAAGGTAGCTCTTTCTCAATTATTTTAAGACCTTGAGTAATAATAATAATAATATTTATTCAGGAAGCTCCACTCACCGAAGTGTTTTTCAGGGAGGTCCTGTAGAGGTCCGACCGTGTTTGATTCCTACGACCTACAGTACCTTCTTTGGACAGACTAAATGTACTTAACAATCTGTTTCTTATATATATTTGACTTCAGTTTATATTACAACATAAGTACATTGTCCTCTATACTCTATGATCGTTTAAACTTGTCCCACAATAATTGTACAACTTTTATACAGTATAAAATACGATTAAAATTACTTTTAAAAATTCATTGTACTTCTTGAGCATTCAACTGGCAACTGCACACATCTAAAACTTGCGCTAACTAGAGAGAGCTAGCATTTGTACCTAAAATTTCTAAGTTCCTAAAAGAGTAAAATACGGAAAGCTATGATGCCTTTTTTATCATAAAAAGGTAAAATCATATTCATAAAAGGTATAATTATAATCATATTTCATGATTTTCAGCATGTAGTCTTCACAGTCAAAATTATGTATCTCGAGACCATATCCATTTATCCAACGTAAAAATGTTCAAAATCTGCCTTGGCAGTTCCAATTCTTGATGGAATAGCTGTTTTCCAATATATTATAACGTCTTTTTCTATTAACAGAAGACTTTTGCAACTCACGAAGAGTTGATTTTTGATGGAAACATTTTTGGTGGAGAATGTATTGCCAAAATTTTCTACCATGATTATTTTTGGCCCGCGGATATTTATCTTCTCTTCATATATACATGTTCTTCAAAATACGTGACGATTACGGCTGTACAAAAACGTACGCAAGCTGTAAAAAATGTTAAACCTGTTTCTTCTACGACTCTCTTCCAACATAATTCTTTCCAAAGTTGAATTTTTCCAATTATTCTTGCCGCAAGCTCGTATTTCCGCCTCGATACTTTAAATTCCCCATGCATACACCTCTGGCAAATACGTGTCATGTATAAGAACAAGCAGATAATAGATCCATAACTTGGCAAGTCTTGAAGATGGCTGGCTTTCATTCACTGACTCTAGCTTTCTTTAAATATATTCAGAGCGACGGTATCGTATTATTTTCAATGCTGGCTACGCTTCGACAATTTTCAGTTTAAACGCACACGAGTTAGGAATGTATAGTTGCCCATCACAGCCATGAAATACTTTAGACGTATTTTTTGTCATCTTCCGAGTACATATGCCTAGATATCTGTCGGATCAGTAATTCTTCAAAATATCAGCTAAGCAGTTAACTTCGTTGAAGCATTATTTAAATGATCGGTCGGCGGGATTTTCCGATCCTCGTCCGACAAAGAGGTCCCTTCTAAACTTGTCGCCGACATTGCTTTCACTTGCGCAATGACAACCTGTGCCTTCAAGGCGTCCTCTTCAAGTTCGCGCATGCGTGCTTGTCTCCAAGCTGCACGTTTTTCGGCGTCCAATGCACGTTGTTCGGAGGGGGTGAGACTTCCCGAAGGAGACCTCCCGGGGGAGGCGACCGAGTTTGTACTCTGGGGGGATTTTATTGAGTTGTTTAATGGGAGATGGAGGTCAGGTTCAGGGCGGACGTTGGGTACTGTAGTTTGCGAGTGAGGCACAGCAACGTCCTATAAAATGATGAAAGTATTAGTAACTTGCACACGAGACATCGATAAGAGGTCGACGCTGACAATGTAAACTATAATAACATAAGGCCAAAAAAAAAATATGTGGGTTTCCGGTTTCCCGACCCTACCTAGCTTTTGGACGTCGAAATCCCGACCCTAAACTTTTTTATTGGATCATGCTTGTAAGTGTTTCCACTTAGAGGAAAAAGTTTGCTGAAAATTGAAATTTGAGGCAATATTAGGAAAATTTATCTTTGGATGTGGAAGCACTGACTAAACAAAATGGCGTCCGCTTGTTCGGAAAATTAAAAAAAAAAGTTTAAAAAAAAAAGTTAAAACCGACCTACCCTACCTAAGTTTTTATAAGAAGAAACCGGAAACCCACATATTTTTTTTTTGGCCTAACTAGAATTTCATTATACTTTTTGTGTGTGTTTTGGTGTTATGTACTCAGGTGAATATGTTTTTGATGTTACTCTGAGTGCAGGCTGAAAAGTTAGCCTGACTCGTAGCTCAGTTGGCAGAGCATCGGACTAGCATCTCAAAGGTCGCGGGTTCGATTCCCACCGTGGTCAGGCTAACTTTTCAGCCTGCCCGGTGCGGATATACACTCAAAAACATTAGAATTTCATTGTCAATCTTGAGATGAGATTACAATGCCTATGGGCGCTTTCCATTAACACGGCCAGACCTGTCAGAACGGTCAAATTGTTGAATGGAACACAAAACATTTGGGCTTCGGACCTATCTGACCGGAAAATTTATATAAAATTAGAATGAGGTCAATTTCGCTAGATATTTGAAAAACATAGACCAGATCTTTCCATTGATACAGAGAAAAACAATTTGGGTCTGACCGGTCAGGCCATTAAATGGAAAGCGCCCTATGATTCACAAATATCGAGACCTTAAAGGTCCGTTTACACCACCCATCTTGTTTTAGGCCGGCGAACGGCGAATTTCGCCAGCGCTAAGAAGACATATGACAGCCATTCGCCAGAGACTGTGTGTAATTCGCCGGTACTTGCAGTCATGACAAGCTGAAATTTTTAGCCCAATCTTGCACTCGGACAATATACCAAATAGACAAAGCTTGCAAGCTTTTGCCCACCACTCAACTCATCAATTAATAGCCGGAGCCTCAGTAGAGCAAAACAGTATTGGCCATGCCCAAATTATTATTAGCCAGGACTTCAAACGGATACCTGAAAGGCTGTAATACACTTGAAATTTTTGCTGCGATTTCTAGCGCGATTTTCTTCTTTTGCTGGATGTGAACGAGTAAGTAAGTTACGAATGTTCGGAGTATATGTCCCCTCATCTAAACATTCCTAACTCTTCCACTCGTTCACATACACCAGAAGAAGAACATCGCAAACGGATGAAGGGATTTTGTAAATGGAAACTTCGGGAGGACACAACCAGAGCAACTGTGTGATATCATTTTATAAAATTTACCATTTGAACTCTGCTATCATCATTCACGAGTTTATTCGGACCATCTCTTGTCATTTCCTGTAAAAACAAAGCAGCTTAGAACCAAATATCGATGTTCTGTGCAGTACCAGATTGTGACATGCAAAAGTTCATCAACTTCTCATGAAAACCACCACACACTGAAATTCTACTAGGACTTGAAGAACAATCCAGTCAAGATCTATTCGCTCTGTATACGATCCATATACTGATCTCTATATGCATGTACAGTATATGCCCTGGGTGCTGTACAACTGCACCTACCTTTTCGTTCAAGCTACCTCGGACACTTGATCGATCAGAATCATACCCGAAATGTTTATTTTCATCAGGAGAACCGATGCTTTCTCCCGCAGCTAAAGGATTCGCAATCACTCCGACCATTGCTTCGACTTTCGAAACATCGTAGCCATCAGCGACGACCAATGAGAGACTGTCACCTACACTACGTAACGAACGAACGGCCTCCATGTGCGTCGCTCCCAGAAGACTGGTACTATTTACCTAGACACAAGATTAACCACATTATTTTCAACATAAACTAAACTAATTCATACTGGATAGCTCTATCAGTTCTAAACTGGTCTTCCTAAAGATCCAGTAAGGATCATCTCCTATTGATCCAGTGTTACTACAGGAGGAAACCTAAATTAAACTAACTTTATTTATACTGAATAACTCTATCAATTCTAAACTGTTCTTCCTAGAGGTGCAGTAAGGATCATCTTTTAATGATCCAGTGTTACTACAGGAAGAAACCTAAACTAAACTAACTTTATTCATACTGGATAGCTCTATCAGTTCTAAACTGTTCTCCTTAGAGGTCCAGTAAGGGTCATCTCTTATTCATCCAGTGTTACTACAGGAGGAAACCTAAACTAAACAAACTTTATTAAAACTGGATAGCTCTATCAATTAGGATCATCTCTTATTGATCCAGTGTTACTACAGGAGGAAACTTAAACCTAAGTCAGTTTACTGACTTTATCTATACTGGTAAGGTCTATCAGTTCTAAACTGTTCTCCCAGTCCAGTAAGGGTCATCCATTGTATAGAAACTTTTGTACCTCGAGTATTCTTTGTCCAACATGAAGTCTTTTGTCTTTGGCTGCTGCGCCACTTTCGTTGACCTACCAAACAAACACACACATTACAGCGCTGTCCTTGTCATGCGAGCAATGCTAAACGTTCTTAGATGCGGGAATACATACCTTTGAAATAAAGATTCCTTCATCTTTAGTATCCAGCGGATTCCCTGGATGTCCCTTCGCACCCCCTCGTATACTTATGCCCAGTTTTTCACCGGGGTATTTCATGATTGTGACTTCCTGAAAATATACAGCAAACGAGATTATACGTACAGTACTACAGTGTTTAATACAAGATGTTATGTCGTAAGGTAGCTACCAGAGAGACTCTAGTGACCGTTCAACTTCATCAGGTTTGAAATGCGTCCTTCTCAATTTAGCTCTCAAATGTAATGTTTGTTTGTGTGTTTTAATGCAGGAAAGTCTTTTGATGATCGTTCTATATACCAATGTCCCCCCCTGAAAAAAGTAACCATTGGTCATAATACTTACCATTAGTCCGGGGGGCGGTGGATCATGGCGGACTAAAAGTTTGATAGATGAAACATTTGATATGAGAGCCGTGACAGCATCGTGATGAGTCGATCTTGTCATATCTTTACCATTGACCTACGGTGCAAATAAACACTTCTTAATACAATTATCAAATGTATCAATTTAACAAATCTGTGCTGTACTGTTTAAAAAAGTATTTATAGTAGTAATTTTTTCATTTCAGTAATTTTTTCATGTCAGTAATTTTTTCATTCAAGTAATTTTTTCAACTTACAGCTAAGATACGATCACCAACTCGCAAATTCGTATTCGACGCAGCACCATTTGGTACGATCTACAAAATACAGTAAAAGGTGTTTTCAAAACAAAATAATTCTGATCCAAACACGAGCAGGAAAATGTCAGTACTTACTTTAGAGATAAAGAGTCCAGGCTCGTCCATACCAAACGGGTGGCAAGCGTGATCTGAACCGCCAACAACACTGAATCCTAGCGGACCATTGCCTTTCTTTAATTCAATTCTCTATAGTACACAGAATAACAACATTAATACAGGAACATTCACATAAACTGACAGCCATAAGTATAGTTAATACCGTAAAGTTTTTACCTCAACTTTCGGCCTGTCAAATTCATCATCACTATCATTATCAACATGATTCGTGTCCTGAAAATATTTATGTAAACATTTGTAATAATTGAATAATAATTTGGAATTAGAATAGTGTTTGCACCCAATCAGAACGAAGATATCATAGATAGAATCATGTTAGGAATAGGCACAACACAGTTGTAGATGGAAATTTTGAGAGTACGACATGGGTTTAACATTTCCTGCGGGCAATGCTCGCGTGCTCGCCTATTTTTTCCACCCCTGGTTCTGAGATGCCCAATTAATCTCGTAACTATATCCCTTACCCCAGCCGAGGCTCGTATCATTGCATCTTGTATCATCTCTTTCTCCGCTATTCTCTTGTTAATAAACGAGTCCTCGCGATGTTTGGACAGCGGCGTCATTCGTTTCTCCAGCACTCGCTCACGGGAGACTGCTAAGGTTACTGAGGGGTAACTAGTAGTAAGTAGGGCTACAGCTTCCTCGTGACTCGCGTTATCCACGGACTTGTTATTGATCTGAAACGGTTTGGAAATAAAATATTACTGAGAGTATGGTGATCAGATCTGTTTAACTAAAGCAAACTAACCTTATTTATACTGGATAAGCTAGTATAGTATACAAATAATGAATGTTTATGAGTGCAATGGTAAGAATATTTTCATGAGGTGAAAGATGGAATGTTCCATTCAACGAGGCGACAGCCGAGTTGAATGGAACATTCCATCTTTCACCGAATGAAAATATTCTTACCATTGCACGAAGAAACATTCATTATTTGTTTTATATAATACCAAAATAGACTAATAGATTCGTATGAGAAGCATTTTGAGGGATGCGATTTATCGAAAACACAAAGAGTGCAATTGTACTATACGTTTTATTCCATTGCACTCTTGCGAAATGGAATTTTCTATTCAATATCACGTGACCATAAACAGCCAATTAAACGATCAGAATTCAGTAAGGTATTATATAATATCTATTATCAGTTCTAAACTGTTCTTCCTAGAGGTCCAGTAAGGGTCATATCTTATTGATCCAGTGTTACTACAGGAGGAAACCTAAACTTTATTTATGCCAGATAGCTCTATCAGTTCTAAACTGTTCTCCCCAAAGGCCTAGCAGGGACATCCACTATCGTTTACTACAGGAAGAAACTTGAGCACCTAAAGAAAGCCTGTGGTGTTTGGTGGAGTCAAACTGGAAGCACTCTTCTCACATGTGACTGGGGTGAAATTATAATGAGACAACTGAATATTGCAGGAATCAAACCTCACTCACAGAGACGAAAGACACATGCCCTGACCACATCACTTACCGACAAGACTTTATCTCCAACACGCAGTCTTTTATCCACCTCAGCTGTACCTCCTACGGCAAGTTTTGAGATGAAAATAGCCTTAAACCAGAACAAAAACGCATTAAAACATAGGAATTCGGAAGGAGCCGAACACTTCACGAACTCCTGCTCACCTGATCCGTTCCCTTATAAGGAGTTGAACCACGACCCCCAGCAATACTAAAGCCCAGTCCTTTATTATCACGTTGTAAAATTATCGTCTCCGTCTAAATAACAAATACATGTTTTTACATGTCTCTAGCTTTTCGGTGTTTGGTCGAGCTGAAGCGCTCTTCTCACATGGGACTGAGGTGAAATTAGCATTTCTCACGAAGGCCAAAATCCGCCATTTTTGAGGGTACTGTCTGCCCTCGTGAAAGATTCTAGACAATTCGAACAACGTGAAAAGCGACTTTTAAAAGTTGTAACTGTAAATTTACCATTATACAAACAACTACAATACTAAAAAGTTGTATTTCGTGGTGCGGAGACTCTCAAACGTGGAAGAAGCAGTACCACCAAAATGGCGGCAAAATCGGCCGTGAGAAATGCTAACTATATAATGAGACAACTGCATATTGCAGGAATCAAAGCTCGATCACAATGCACTGACCACTGTGTCAGCCACGCAATAATTGCTGTTAACTATTGTACCTCTGTGGCCGTTTCTATCTCCTCCATTTCTGGTTCCGCCGCAAATCTCACACCAGACTTTTTCACTTCCTTTGGAGCCGGGGTCAGAATCTCAGTCGTTTCGGGCTTCGGTTCCTCCTCGCCATTCTCCGTGACAGGTTCGGCAAGCTCCTCGGTTTCTCGTAATATGATCATTTTGACCGTATCTCCAGCATTGCTGAGAACTTGCACTGCATCGTTGTGGCTGGCTTCGCTGATGTCCACGTCATTTACCTGCACACGGGTGGAATACATAATCAAACTTGTCACCTCAGTGACTGAGGTATCTCATGAGGTGACTGACCGCGACTCATTATCTATGTTAGTTAACGTTTATTCATAAGTCCTTCACCGTCACGTGTGTATTGTATTTTTGCCAAATCCACCAATAGCAATTTATTACCCTATTATTGTTCGAGTCACGGATAGGTAACTCTCCTAAAACATTGCTACAGGTGAATATAACAAAATCGAAATTTTCAAAATGGCAGCTAGCCGTTTTGTTGAAGTTAGTGATGAAGAAATAAGCGAAATTAAAATGAATTCAGACCAGGAAAACACAAAAAAAACTTGTGCAAAAACACAAAAAAAATTATTCGCCTCAGGCTTGGTGATTATCGGGGAATATTCACCTCGACTTCGTCTCGGCGAATATTCCCCGATAATCATCTCGCCTTCGGCGAATAATTGTTAAATATTGTTATTCTAATGAGTTATATTGTTATTCTAATGAGTTTCACAGCCATAGATCTTCCCTTCGATAGTCAATGTTACTCACCGATATTAATTTATCCCCAGGCTGTAAAATACCATCTCGGCCTACAGGGCCTTTCTCGTTAATTTTCGATATAAAAATACTCTAGAAAAAACATTAATAAATATTTTGATAACAATAATTTTATACATTCATTACACCTAACCAGGAACAGTTGTGAAAAATTCTACAATGAATTATATCGAGTATAAATACGCACCTCGTCATGGTCTCTATACGGAGTGGAGCCCTTGCCTCCGGCGATATTAATCCCCAGTCCTGCTCCGTTTCTTACCAACGTGTACGTTATCTGAAACAATCCAGAAATGACGTCAGTTATGCATACAAGCTTTCGTCGGTAGGGATGCGACTACCTGGTAAATGTGAGGAGAATTTCGACGTTTCGTGGGAAGGCCCCCCCATTGAACTATAAATAAACTGGAAGGCTAACTGCTATGATGAAGGCCTATGATTTGATGAAGCCAAAATAGTTTTTCTGAGTTATGAGCAGAAATACTTGACCCCAAACGTCGGGCTATATATCAAATTGAAGCTATTGAAAATTGCTATTCGGTGTGGAAATTTCAAGACTTCAGCGAAAAGAAAAATATTTAAAAAATACAAAAACAACTGCAAAACGGCAAATTATCGGTAATTATGTTTGTAGTTTTTCAATATTTCCCTTTTAGCTAAAGTCTTGAAATTTCTACACCAAATAGCGTTTTTCAATAGCTTCAATTTGATATATAGCCCAACGTTCAGTGTTGAGTATTTCTGCTCATAACTCAGAAAAACTAAAATGCACTGGCTTCAATTTCCCCCCCTGAGTTAGCCTTCCAGTTTATTTATAGTTCAATGGGCCCTCCTTCGTCTGGAGTTACTAGGCTTCTTACCTCTTCTACGATTTTCGTGACGGTCACAAAATGGTCGTCGCCATTTTTGTTTGAAGGTAATCCATTTATACCATTGACATGTGTTGACGGGGGACCATCTGTAAATAAATACAGTGTTATCAATAAGAGATTATCCTTGCTGGACCACTAGGAAAAACAGTTTAGAACTGATGGTGCTATCCAGTATAAATAAAGTTAGTTTAGGTTTCCTCCTGTAGTAACACTGGACGAACATAGGGATGGTTCTTACTGGACCACTAAGAAAAACAGCATAGAATGTACCCACTGACCTTCATTATCTCTGGGGTGATCGTCTTCTTCGCCACTCTCCTTAACGTAACAGAAAACATGTAGAAACTGGAAAAAGTGTTAGTATGTGATCTCAATGGCCTCTCCGGCCTGAAATTTGCAGACCAGCTTCTTGGTACATCAGGAAAGATTATTTTTGATAATTCCTAAGATGGCCTCGAGAAACTACTGTTTTGACGAATCGTTTCACATAGATTTTTGCGTTTTAAAATCACTCTAATGAACACCATCGAGTGTACGATATAACGAACCAGTATTGAAAGAGAAATTCAACGCGAAAGATTCTTAATTTATGGACGTCGATTACCGTGGTACCAAAACAAGGATAAGATTTCCTTTCAATAAGGTGCTGAATTATTGATATGAGAAGTGAAAGCCAGTCAATAGGAATTATCAACTATATGTTTTCTTAGTATAGGCCATTGAGATCCAGTTACCAACATCATAAACGTAATAAATCGCAAGCACATTGTATACAAAACTGAAAAAAAGCAAACCTTTTGTAATGTTGAATAGCAACCACTTACATGTCAAGGTAGATTTTTAATACTTAGATTACTTCTACAGATGAGATTTAGGTTTCAAAATTTTGGATTTTATTTTCATTTTTAGTCTGTTTATTTCTCGTTTATTTTTAAAGTTAGTTACGCGTTTAATTATGTCGTTAACTGGATCGTTTAGTCTGCAAATTTCACATTACTTTAAATATTTTAATGTCAGGTATTTATGAATTTAGTACTGCATATTAAAATTTAAAATTATACTGTATTGTTAATTGTTAATAATTACATACGAGTTATATATTTAATCATAAACAAGTTTAGATAACATCACACAAATGTAGCTTAACTTTATCGTCTTCCATCTCTGTGACTGAGATTTGATTCCTGTAATATGCAGTTGTCTGATTATAATTTCACCTCAGTCACATGTGAGAAGAGTGCTTCCAGTTTGACTCTACCAAACATCACAGGTTTTCTCCAAGTGATTCAGTTTCCTCCTGTAGTAACACTGGATCAATAAGACACGACTCTTACTGGACCTCTAGGGAGAACAGTTTAGAACTGGTAGAGCTATCCAGTATAAATAAAGTTAGTTTAGTTTAGATTTCCTCCTGTAGTAACACTGGATCAATAAGATGAGACCCTCATTGGACCTCTAGGAAGAACAGTTTAGAACTGATAAAGCTATCCAGTATAAATAAAGTTAGTTCAGTTAAATATTTTAGGTAAAAAATAAATTGATGCTTACCCGTTGTTCATCAGAATCGTCATCGTTATAATCCCTCTGCCCAACTTTCGCCATTATTTCATGAAATTTTTCCTGAATGTCCTCTTTGTCTGAATAAAGTCTCTTTCCCTTGGTATAGTGAGGAGTGTTTGTTCTCTTTAGTCTGTAGTTACTTTCTGCTGGCTCCTCGCCCTCCGCCACGAGAAACCCCACCGACCTGGAATATTCTCCGTCCTCGTCATCCAATAGTTCTTCATCCTAAAATATGAAAAGACATTTGCTGTTGCTCGTCCACTCTTTCAATGGTAAAGTAGACTTTTCGAAAGGAAAATCGCCACCCATCGCCATTAAATCATGGTTGTAAATAGTAAATTAACGTAATGGTTGTAAATAGTAAATTGTTTTTTTCACAGCATGTACATTTCTTACTACCATTAACTTTTTTTGTAATGTTACTTTTTGTCACAAGCCCATTGTGGAAACCAGTTTCAGTTGACAATGTTAGCGTGGTTAGATAATGTTTATCATCATCATCAAGCCGAGATAGAAAATTCATCAAGACATAATCATCCGTCTCAGTGTAACGAGCTAGAATAGCGTGATCTTTACTGGCAATGATTCCGGAAAGAAATGATGATTGATATTTTCCTGATTCGTGTAATTTCCTACTTACAACAATAGGTGAAGTTGAAAGATTTTTATGATGTTTGTGATGTTACTCTGAATGTGCATCCACAGCGGGCAAGCTGAAAAGTTAGCCTGTCCACGGTGGGAATCGAACCCGCGACCTTTGGGATACTAGTCCAATGCTCTACCAACTGAGCGAGGTCAAGTCGGCTCGAGATATTTCGTTGATATAACACCAACACACACAAAAAAGTATCAGATCTTGAAATTTTTTTTTCACTTGGTTGAAACTGAATATCGATCCTGCCAGAGGACCTAGTGTTGTATTTTTCGCAACCGTTTCTGGTATAAAAAGTGTGTATATATCGTCACTTGGATTATCCATCTATTCCGATGTACAAAAATTGTCAGAACATCCATCAAGAGGGACTGCGCATGCGCGTTTGCCTGGATCAGGACGCTGTTTTTTATATAGCGCTCCACTTCAGTGAACAAACTACGCAGGCAGTTCATCCACACGGATTATCCAGCGCGTTTGACGAGATATCACACAAACTTTTCTTTATCCAAGTTCGTCCAGACGAATCATTGGTCTTTACTATAAATTAGTTCAATGTTGAAAGACATGCCATCAGTTTATCCGGCTTGATTTTCAACAAGATACTCAATCCAGTGGAGCTGTGCGGTTCCAGAGATTTCATCTCGGTTTCGGGAAGAAAGAACCTCGCTTCGGTGTCGGTATTTTCAAAAGAAAAACACTTTAAACCATTTTCTCAATAAATTGTAATATAACATCTAAAAAACAACTTATAACAAGTTAAATAAAATATCTCCATTGATTTATAGACTATTTAGAGGAATAATTACATATATTCTGAAAATAAAGAAATCTTTCTTCAGCATTTTCTAGTTTTTCCGACACAAAGCGGCGACACGTCGGAAACCGAAAGGTTCTTTTTCGTAAGCTCGGCGCTGACTTCCGGTGCTAAAAATAGCACCGGACCGATCGAATCTTCTGGTTTAACCGCACAGCCCTACAATCCAGTGTTATTTCCAGATCAGTGGCAAGCAGAGTCCCAGGCCTTTACCTCGTGATGACCCTCTTCCCCAGGGGCACTCTGGTGTTGTTCTTCCACAGTTGAAGATAAAACCAATGCTTCATTCTGATCCACGATCACCGCCGGGTGTTCTTCAATCCGGATTGCAGGTTCAGAATCATGAATCCTCACTCCAGGTTTGCGGTGTTTCTCGTGTTCCGTGTCCGAACCAGACTCCGCGCCTTTTGATAATCTCCGCTTTTCCTGGAAATACATAAATAATAGTTCTCCTTTCAATAACGTCAAAAATACGTCAAAACTTTGAGTGACTGGATGGCATGGAGAACATTTTCAAAATAATGGAACATTCCAATCAGTTGGAGGGCTTGATGCCAACAAAATTAAACCTCTAGGAAGAACAGTTTAGAACTGATAGAGCTATCCAGTATAAACAAGACGCCTACTCAGGCGTTCACTCCGCCTGCCAGCCTGCGGAGAAAATGGGGACAATGTAGGGTGCGACGGAAAAGTGAAGTCAAATATAAGCCGAAGTGGCGATGTTTGGCTAATGCTGACGCCACTACACGTCTTAATTAACACGTGCGTAGGGGGCTGAAGCTGATGTCTAAACTGGCTGTGATGGCATGCAAGGAGCCTGAAACTGACGTCCTAATGTCCAAACTTTACATTGAATTTTCATAAGAAAGTGCCATAACCTATAAGAGACAGAAATAGGATATTAATTCTGACACACCAATTCTGTTTGGCCCATCATTGTAATAATAGAGGCCCAAAAAGCATGTTTGAGTGGCTTGGTAGGTATTCTGCCCAGAGTCCTAGTAGGGTTGAATTAAATACATTACACAACACATAGTATCTATTAATGTATCAATCAATTCGAAACTGCACCATCCCCCCCCCCGGGCATACCCCGGGAATTTGACTTCAAGTCTTCTCTAGGAAGTAGGTAATTTGACGTTCTAGGTCTTCCATGTGGTGGGGCATTTGATAACGGGGTGGGGAATTTGAACCGGAAGTCTTAACATTTTGCCCGTTTTCGCGTGCTTCCTGCATGAACAGAAAATACTTTGCATTGGCGGCAAATACAGTTTTCTCAGATTTCGAGGGAAACAGCCTCAATTTTGTGAAAAACTGGCTCAAAGAAACGGGCATGGAAAATCTACGTGCTTCATTTGAAGGTATGTACTACATAATTGTGTAAAACTGTTAAATTTGCAGAAGGTATCCAAACTTTTTACGTGGATTTCGCTATCCTGTCGAAAAACATTTCCGTATATTTTGTACTTTTTGTATTCACTGTTTCATAATTTTCATATGAAGGTGGGGCATTTGAACGCTTAATTTCTTGTTACAGTGGGGCATTTGAAGACATTTTTTGCACAGGGGGTGGAGAATTTGATCAGTCAAATTTCAAAAAGTTCAAATTCCCGGGGTCGGCCCGGGGGGGGGGTGGTGAAGTTTCGAATTGATCGATACATAACACACAAGGGCAGTAGAAAGAGCAAAGCAAGCAAACCCAAGCTGGCTGTGAGTTCAAGAAGCTGACGTTTCTGTTATTTGTTAACATCACTATATATCATAGATTATATTCTTGTCTTGCAACCAATCCCTTGAGAATTAAAAGAATGTGCGAAATTCAGTAAAAAATAATGAGATTCTTTGTCTTAATACTACCACATGGCTGCCGTTTCCGGTAGTTGCGTACTAAACATGTATAGTAAATTATAAACACGACAGCTTCAATACTACATTTCCTAAACTCTTCAAAACATTGAAATATATTTAATAACCCGATAGCCTCAACACTACATAGCCTAAACTCTTCAGAACATTGTAGGGACCTTTCACACAAGAATATATTTTGCTAGTCAAGAATATAAGATCGACATTTAATACGACATACTGTACAGTAGGAGTGAATATTTTTATTTATATTTATGACTTTAAAGAATTTCTTGTTGCCAAAATGCAGCATGTACTACCAAAATAAGAATGTTTAGTATCCCTTACCTCAGTTGAGTCTGGAAGCTTTGTCTTGACATTCATCTTTTTAGTATTTTTCATCGCACAAGACCGTTTCACAGTTCGCAGTTTAGAAAAATACTGTAAGCAGAGCTGTAAGCATGCGCATTGCGCTGCCAAATCGTATAACATTATCCACAAATGTCAATAGAAAGTATCTAAATATCATGGAATGTACACATTTATCAAGGAGCCTGTTTGTGACACTGACGACAGTCGACAACCGACAACAGACTCAGGCATTTTTAGACTCCGCACTGCGCATGCGCAGGCGGAGTAATAAAGTTAGTTTAGTTTAGGTTTCCTCCTGTAGTAACACTGGATCAATAAGAGATGATCCTTACTGGACCTCTAGGAAGAACAGTTTAGAACTGATAGAGCTATCCAGTATAAATAAAGTTAGTTTAGTTTAGGTTTCCTCCTGTAGTAACACTGGATCAATAAGAGATGATCCTTACTGGACCTCTAGGAAGAACAGTTTAGAACTGATAGAGCTATCCAGTATAAATAAAGTTAGTTTAGTTTAGGTTTCCTCCTGTAGTAACACTGGATCAATAAGAGATGATCCTTACTGGACCTCTAGGAAGAACAGTTTAGAACTGATAGAACCATCCAGTATAAATAAAGTTAGTTTAGTTTAGGTTTCATCCTGTAGTAACACGGGATCAATAAGAGATGATCCTTACTGGACCTCTAGGGAGAACAGTTTAGAACTGATAGAGCTATCCAGTATAAATAAAGTTAGTTTAGTGTTTTAAAGTGACCAACATTTTACCTCTTCTTCGGAGTTCACTGAGCCAGATCTTGGTTTATGTGAAAATATTTTCGGATGTCTTCCCTTCAAATCCTTTGGATGAGGTGTATCGTGGCGCACGAAGTCAGTCTGAAAATGATAACATTTTGATGTGAAAACAACTTACACCAAATTCTGCCACAAATTCCGTCATCAAACAACAGCAAAAGGTCCTTTGCATGAATGCTAATATAAGCCAAAACACTGAGTATTGGATGACATGGAGAACAGTAGGATTTTCAAAACAATAAAAAACAAATGAACATTCTCGTCACCAGATCATGACTGGATGGCATATGGGAAGGACCATTTTGATATACTTGTAACAAATGTTGACATCAATGTAGCAATTACCTCTCTTTCATCATCGTGATCAGATTCTTCATCCGAGAAGGTCACGTGTTCGTTGACAAAGCCAAGCTCAACTGGTGGTTTCTCACGTGGTTCGTAATGGAAGTGTTCTGGATCTTCCGCCTCGAAGTCTTCTGCAAAGTAAATATTGAACGTCTGATGCAGTTCAATGTCGGCCGTTGGTCTCACAGTGGTTCGACTGCCGTTTGTTCATGTGCCTTTCAATTTTTATCTTTCAAATATGCAGTTGTCTGATTATAACTTCACTTCAGTCACATCCAGTTTGACTCTACCAAACATCACAGGTTTTCTTTAGGTGCTCAGGTTTCCTCTGTAGTAACACTGGATCAATAAGAAATGATCCTTACTGGACCTCTAGGGAGAACATCTTAGAACTGATAAAGCTATCCAGTATAAATAAAGTTAGTTTAGTTTAGCTTTCCTCGTGTAGTAATACTGGATCAATAAGACATGATCCTTACTGGACCTCTAGGGAGAACAGTTTAGAACTGATAGAGCTACCCAGTATAAATAAAGTTAGTTTAGTTTAGGTTTCCTCCTGTAGTAACACTGGATCAATAAGAGATGATCCTTACTGGACCTCTAGGGAGAACATCTAAAAACTGATAGAGCTATCCAGTATAAATAAAGTTAGTTTAGTTTAGCTTTCCTCGTGTAGTAATACTGGATCAATAAGACATGATCCTTACTGGACATCTAGGGAGAACAGTTTAGGACTGATAGAGCTATCCAACTGAGACAAGCAATCATACCCAAATCAAAGTTTGGTTCACTCTGTGGCAACAAGAAACATGTTAAAACTCTCGTGTTTGTCCTCTCATCATCTTCCGTCTGTAACTTCAATATTGCTTTTGACTAAACAAAATTGTCATACAGTTATTTACCGATAATGGATACTCAGATCAACTACTTAACCCATCAAGGTGAAGTGTTCGCACTACTCAATGTTTCCTTACTTGGTTTTCAGATAACCAAAGTGCCTTCAGAGGTAGAGTTCCAATGGTCAGAGGTAAATTCTCCAGTCTAAAAAAACGAAATAGATTGAGCTGGTTTTAAAGATGGAACAATTTATCAGATGGATCATTTATCTTATTGGTGACACAAGACAAACTATCCAGAGGAGCTAGCTAGAATAGCGAGCCAGTTCCCTCAAGAATTTCTTACAAATCCAGAAATCCTACCTATTTCCAGAAACATCCAACACATGAAGAGTTCGACAGTTTCCTATCTCAGAAGGCAACCTTGTCAGACAATTTTCTCGCATTGACAACACCGTCAAACTACTGCAGTTTCCAATCTAATAAACATAAAATTAAACATAAATAAAATTCTTAAATTGAAGGGATGTTCTACAATAAGCTGTTGTGGTTTGTGTCTGAACTACCTGAAAAAGATATCTCAAACATGGTGGTCCAGTGTAGGTAGCATTCTACAATACTGTAAGTTGTCGTGGTTTGTGTCTAAACTACTTGAAAATAATAAATTCAAGGTAATTATTTGTGTTTCTAAGTTATATACACAGCAATGACTTACCTCAACTGGTAACATTTGTAATTGGTTTCGATCAACATTAAAAACAGAAAGATTCACAAGTTTGCCAATGGATGGAGGCAGATCCTGTTGGGGAAAGAATAATTTTACTTTTTATCTATTTAATTAATAAAACTTCACAATAATTCTTACTGGTATTTTTCAAACCTAACCCACCTCTAATAAGTTTTCTGTGAGTACTAATTCTGAAACCTTCATTGCACTGTGAAATAAGAGATAATAAGACAATTATAAATATGCCAAGCTGTTTCAAAAACAAACCATTGCAGTGAAAATGAAACCTACCCTCCAATGGCATCAGTCAACTGGATCAATCTATTCTGGTCTACTTTGAGCAACTCAAGTTGTTTTAACTCGCCTAGAAAATTTTAAGAACAAGTATTATAACTTTCAATTGTTTCAACTTTCTGTGGGGCAAAGGGGTGGTGCTACTGTAACCCTTTCTGAGGGCAGGATTGCCTTGGGGAGGGGGGAGCCTAACTTTCTCTCTGCAGCAGGGGTGGTAACTGGGGAAAGAGGGGAGAAAGAGGGGGTGCTAACATTGTTCCAAGGGGTAGTGCTGCCTTTCTTGGGGGGGGGGGAGATAACTTTCTTTTGGGAAAGGGGTGGTGCTAACTTTCTAGGAGTGTTAATTCTCTTTGGTGCAGGACAGAGGTAGCAACTCTGGGCTGGAGTGGTAGACTTCTCTCTAGGTGGGGGTGGGAGAGGGGCTTACCCCCAGGCTTACCTATAGTATCAGGGATAACCTCTAGTAAATTTTGAGACAAATGAAAATCACTCAGAGCAACCAATCCACTAATTTCATCAGGAAGGTATTCTATCCTGTTCTCTGAGCAGTCAAATATCTGCAGTCGTTTTAAATTGCCAATTTCCATGGGTAGCGTCCTGAGAAGATTGCCGTCCAGCCATAACTCAACAAGCTCAGGAAGTGATCCAATTATATCAGGCTACAAATGCACAAACAAAAAAATAGATAAATATTTTGGTGGATTTGAAAAAAAATGCTACAACAGGTCACGGAATAGAGACCTTACAGAAGGCTGACTTCTTGGCGTTGCAATGCTGTGTTCCTAGGCAGTGCGCTTATGAGAGGCATTCACCCCCCTGAAAAGACTCAAAATAGTGGACCTTCAGGGGGTGAATGCCTCTCATATGAGCAGTGTCTAGGAACACGGCAATATGAATCATTGTGAATCATGGTGTGACAGTGGCTACGCTTTTTTGGCCGAGTTAGCTTTCTGTGTGGTCTCTATTCTGTAAACAGGCCCTTCAGTCAGATCCCAAAAATTTAGAATAATTTTATTTCACTTACTAAATCTTCCAGCTCATTACATCCAAGGTCTAATCTTTCTAGTTTGGTTAAAAATGACAATGATCTGTTGAAACAAACACAACTGATGAGGAAAATACTAAAATTGTCTGCAATTACACAAAGTAAAATGTGAATGTGAAGTTTCCACAGTATTTAGATAAAACATTGTAAATACGTACACTGGTATAAACTTGATCAAATTCTCACGTAATTCCAACACTTGCAACTCTGCCAAACTAAAACAAAAGTTTGGTCAGTTCATGTTACAACACTCTGAGGGTCTGAAATTTGCAGTATCCCCACACTACTAACTTTGCTGTGCGCACGGAAGATATCCTGTGCACATTTTTTGAGATGAAGTGCGTGTGTTTTAAGAATTGAAGTCAGGTGCGCATTATGTGAGCACTTTGCACAGAATTTTAAAATTTTTTTAACAAAATGTACTTTCAAAACTACTCAAAAGTTTGATACTTTAGTGATGTCACTGATGTGCAAATTTCCTCACTTACCACCTGAGTGCACATTCTGTCCCTCCCATGAAATATAAGTGCATATTTTTTGGCAACAAAATCATATTCGGTGCACAATGGGCAAAGTTAGCAGTCTGGCAGTATCCCGATATCCACGGGATACAAAAATTTGGTTTTGGATACCAAATTGTTTTGGATAGTAAGAAAATTTTAAACATTTGATAGCTTTTGAATACTATGAGTTTGCAACCCAACCCTTTCCTCATATTATGTGCATTGAATTGACTGTTGAATCTCCTGTTGTCATTGTAATTTGCAGCAGTGAGAGTTATGGAAACTTATTTGGATTCCAGAAATGGGATACTGAATTCTCAGGGGGGATACTAAACTTTGGAGTCATGGTTTCCCAGTTGGATATTGAGAAAAAATTTAAAGTTCAGAACCTGTTCTGACATATCATTTAATTATTTGCTTAGGTTATTAATTTTACCTGCCAATGTCAGGAGGCAAGCGGACCAAGGAAACGTCATTTAGACATAAACTTGTCAAACATTTTAGCTGGGTGAATCCATCAGGAAGTCTAGAAATAGTGATGAAAATATTTCAAAAATCACAACTGACAGATGAGCAGTCTGAACAACCTCAAAGTGGATTGATATCTTAAGGCCCTGTCACACTATTTTGTATCGTACTAGCGCATGCCAGAGTATGAAAAATATCACTCATACGCTGGAAAATGCTAACATACGCTAGGGGTATGTTAGGCATAGGTTGTATACGTTTCAAGCACAGTCACATATGATGCATACGGCGAGGCCCGACAAGACAAAAACATTTTTTAAGCATGCTCAAAAATGGTTTATATGGTTTATACAACAAGCATACCCTAGGTACACGATGAATATGCTAGAGATACACCAGATGTGTGGACAGAGCCTTAAGATTACTATTTAATTTTTTTCCACATGGAATTCATAGGAATACGATAGCTAGGTTTATATCAAAACAGTCAAATATAATCTGTTTTTTCACTTTGCACCTGCCCAAATGTTTAATTGCATTTTTATGATTATTAATAAAAATACTTATATTACAAAATTGATATTCAAGCATGCCCTGAGGCATGTCAGATTTCTATGATGCCAGAATTTCTCACAATTTCTGTGGGGTGTTAGCGAGACATTTGTTAGTGCATATATGCCTCTCACATCAGTTTGATGATTGCAATATCATAATAAATTTTTTTCTGTGTTGATGTAATGTACTCAGGTAAATATAATGATGCTTGTGATGTTACTCTGAGTGTATATCCACACCAGGCAAGCTTGAAAAATATGCCCGGCCACGGTGGGAATCTACGACCTTCGGAATACTAGCCCAATACTTTGCCAACTGAGCTACGCGGTCAGGTCGGTTCGAGTATGTGATATTTCGGAACTGAGTCTAGTTCCTTCAATATCGATGTTGTAGGTTCGATTCCCACCGTGGCCAGGCATATTTTTCAAACATGCCCGGTGTGGATATACACTCAGAGTAACATCACAAACATAATATAATAATTTCACCTCAGTCACATGTGAGAAGAGTGCTTTCAGTTTGATTCTACCAAAACACTGCCTATTTTCTGCATGTACTCCACTTCAAACAATAGA